GAAAATCTAAAAAGCATTTGAAGTTGTGAAAATCATAGTATTTAATTGAGCACAAAATTATAAAAGTAAAAATATTTTAGGCATTATCTAACATATTTTCTTGGATTTTAAATAGGAAAAATGGCTCTTATAATTAAGGATGGAAGGAGCATAATGTTTTTGGATCCCTCATGACTTGGCATATACGCATCCAGTTTACATGCAAAATAAAACTTAGATGATCTGCGAAAAAAAGAAAGTGCAAAGTTTAAGCAGATTCTTTATATTTTAGCTTGTTTTTCCCTCTTTTCAAGGCATTTGGTAAAGTTAGCACGATATCGAATTTTTCAGCTATAAGTTGAAAATAATTTATTCTTTTAACATTTTTCGATTGAAGTATGAAGAAAAATAAGAGATTAAATAAATTATCCATAACTAGCAAATCATACTGTTCAAAAATCATGTATTAATAATAAAGCTAGCTATATATTTGATATCCAATTGGATATATTCTTAGCTTAATAATAAGGTTTTAAATTTTTTTTAATTTTTAAACAGGTGCATTAATTACCACCATTTGGTGGGAACCTCCTTAATATACATAATTAAGAAGGATATTTTGGAAAATTTCTGAGAAACAAAGTAAATAAGTCTTATATTTAGAATCAAATCCAACTCTTAACTAGTTCTTGTATTAAAGATAGGAGGTAGTAAGCCTGTGTCAGTCTTTGATGTACACTTTTCTTTCTCATATGCTAATCAGCATATAGAAGGATGTCTTTCTATTTGAGTTCTAGGATGATACTGGGGAAGGAAATAAACAATATAATGAAGATATTTGTTCTATATACATTGAAAATTTCTCCATGTGTTATTAAATATCTGGCCATCAGCTTTTGGCCATAGTGATTCATCACCATCCGTTTCAATAGATGCAATGAAATATAGTTGTTCTCTGAATCCAGGAGTCTGAAGGGATATTATTCGTCTTCCAAATGTTATCTAGCTTAGCTCTGGTCAAAGTTTGTACAACAAGATAAACTTTTCTCCATGATCTTAATATTCAGCGATTTTTTCCCACAGAGCGCACCAGCATTCTTCTCTGGTAACCTGTAAGGAGGAGCATAACTCCTTTCTTCTTCCTTCTCCTAGGTGCTCGTGGCTTAGGTCTCTATTGTCCTTAGGCCTTGGCAAAGAAACCATTGAGACTATCTATATACTACCTCCAGTCCTTAATATAAGACTTAGTTGACTGATTTGAGAAGATTGAAAAAACTAATTAAGTTAGTTATTTATAATAAATAAGTATTGTCTTTCCTAAAATACACTTGCTAATTATGTGCATTAGCTAAAACTACTATTTGATGGAATATTGAATATACGCAATTATTAGAATACTATTTAAAAAAAATGAAAGACAAAGTATATCAAGGTCTTATATTTAAGATCAAATTAAAGTCAAACTAGTCTTTATATTAAGAATCAGAGGTAGTATTATTTCCAAGCGTTTTCCATCGCACTACTTCCCTGGCTGTTGCTTGATTACATTAACTAATTCTGACTTACATTTCGGCCTTAGGCAAAAATATTAGGGTAAGTGAATTACATCATATGTGCATGGGAATTACAATATACAAAATATACAATCCCCTCATGTTTAAGCAATTTATTCATTTGCCCACCTCCATCTTAATAAGAAAATATGCGTGATCTTAGTCTTGCTTCCTCATAACAGTAACAACGGACTGACGGTGCTTTCGAATCAAGGGACTGCTTACTAAGAAATACTGGTGTTTACTGCTATTACACATCTTCGGAACAAATCAATTGCAAGTATGGAACTGAATGGATGTTTAATTAATAGTTGGTCCTTCCATTATGTCGTTATATATAAACTTTCTTTTGATTAATTAATTGCAGAATTATATGGGTCGGTACCTCGCATGGTTGAAAGACCAGCTTTAAGAGGGCATTGGCGGCGTAACTTCATGGGTGTTTCGACGTTAGGCAATTTCCAAGAAAAGCTTCCTAACTATAAGAGCAGGACCTAAACATCCTAATTAGGCATAAATAGTCTTTCAAAAGGACATTATTATGATGTTGGATACTCAGTTACTGCTGAAGCAATTGATCAGGTTGCCAGTTGTAGAGTGGATGTGCAAAGCATGGGATGTAGGTGAGGAGATAGTAGCCTGTTTTACTATAAATAAGAGAGCTCGCCTTAATGCAGATAGATGAATAAACCAATTTAGATAATTACCTTTGTCGCAAGAGAATGTACGAAAGAGCTCCCCTTGGTAAAAGATCTTAATTTCGATCCTCATGGGAGACTTGGCGTTGTGAATTTTTATCGTATGAACTATTATTGTCCAACTAGTCCCCATAATTATATCCTACAACTAAGGTTTAGGAGTCTTAGGAGTTCTTTGTTGCTGATCCATATGGTGCCATTGACTACCTATATTGGCAGCATATATAACAAAAAGAACCTGGCTTGGGTCAATATGTGCATCTCTGAAAAGGCATTCATTTCTAAAACACAGGATGTAATATAAAACTAGACATATGAACTTGCCAAACGCCTTATCTACACGTGAGAGTGAATTATGTAGCCACGCATCTACAGAAATTGTTCGATCAGTATCAGACTTAAAGGATAAATGTGATCCAAACCATATAGCTCTAGACCATGGACAAAGTAGAAACAAGTGTTCTCTGGTTTCAACCGTTGGGCAGCCAACTAGACAATTGGGATCCATATTTATACGATGTCTAATCATGATATCTTTGACAGGTGTGGCATGGTACAAGGGCTTCCAAATGAACAAATTAAAGCAATAGGAGGGACGAGATGAAATTTATTGATTATCTCCTAGGAATTATCAGAAGCGAGATGAGTACTTACCAGAGTTTTGTACCCATTTGTCGCTGAGTATTTATCACTACAATTACCTGTCCATATTAATTCATCACGACATTGGAGCACTAAAAATGAGGTGTAAAGAATCTCTTCTACTGTGTTTCTATTGAAGGAGCTTGAGAAGTCTCACATTCCAACATCCTTGATCGTGTAGTAACAAGTCACCTACTGATGTTATTGTCAATGGGTGGACACACTGCAAAGGCCACCAAAGGCAGATGTAGAGGTTGATTTGTGAACCATTTCCCAATTTCCATCCTAGATTATCGAGGATTAACACTTTAACACTGCTAATATTTTTCCACATCTGGGATTCTATAGATCATATTCCTTCGTCTTTCTCAGAAATACATTTGGGTTTTATAAGTAAAGAAAATAAGGAGTCCTTGTCATGTGCAAACAAACACTAAATATGTTTTGCAAGTAAGGCTTTGACCTCTATCTTTCTATGCCAAGGCCACCCTGACACATACGAAAAGCTTCCTAAGTGACAATGAATTAAATGCATCTAACTTTGACGTGACAGAAAGTCAAACTAATAATGGTTAGTTTTCAGGTCTTTGCAAAACCCTTTTATATTCGATGCTGTATCATCTTAGCCTGTGAAAATGCAAAGATCAATTCCCAAGGGGAAAATTTCACTTAGTGCCCTTGAAGGCACTTAACACTTAATTTCCAACCACCCTCATAAGATTGTGAAACTTCATTCCACCCCCACCAAAAATAAATTAAATATTAAAGAGGAAAAACAATTATGCCCTTGTATTTTTTTTCCTTCAAAAAAAATCCACCCACCAGAGCTTAGATGGCCCGTCACCAGTCAAACCCCTAGCCACCTTATTTAAAAAATACTGGAGATGCGGCCACTAGTGTTCTGGTGGCTAACTGTTGAAACTCTGGTGGGTTGATCTTTTTTTGAAGAAAAAAAATAATGTAAGGGCATAATTGTCTCTCCACCTATAATATTTAATTTAATTTTGTCAAAAGGGATAGAATGAAGTTTCAAAATCTTATGGGACTATTGGTAATTAAGTTTCTTCTTCGGGGACTAAGTGGAATTTTCCCATTTATAAGTTGTGTTGATATTTATTTCGTTGGTGCTTTGTGTGCTTGAGTCTTGTGTGCTTGAGTCATCATGCTGTCACAATCAGATTTTTGATAATACTCTCTTCAATTCATAATATAAAAGATTAGTTAGAGAAAAAATTGTAATCCAAAATATAAGATGTTAAAATAATTAATGTAATTTTTTTTACTTTTAACCCTATTAAATATAGGGAAGAGAGGAAAGATAATTAATTTAACATTAAAAGTAACTTCAACATTTTTAGGAGTAAAATAAAAAAAAATTATTACTTCAAGCATGTTTAATAACTAAACTTTATTTTTTTTTATATGTGAAAAAAAGTTAACTAACTTGACTAGAGGGATTATGTATGCATATATTGGTATTATCAATTTGTTAGAAACGAGAGGTAAAATTGATAATGTTTGAAAGGATATATTTTCAAAAGATCGTGGGCCAAAAAAACAAAAAGTTCCCAAAAGGTACTGCTTAGTTACTGAATTCATGGTATCCATTGTCAGTGTTAGCGAAGAACAATGTCACTTCACAAATTGCTTTGTTGCATCGATTTAGTGTGTTTGTGTGTGTAACTGTGTGTTGAACAAGTAATGATAATTTTCAGGTTTGAATTTTTATTTATTAAAATATGGTAATAGTAGAACTTGAAAAGTCAGACATGCACAATAATTCTTGAAAGTATTATAACAGGGTCTCAAAAAAAATAATTATTAAAAAGTCATATTAATAAGTTAAATTATTTTTTACTTTAAAACTCATTAGTACAGGTTATTTAATTGCCATTAAGACTTTTTAATAATTATTTTTTTGACCTAATTGTAATTTTTTTCCATAATTCTTTGACATTCTCAAAAGATACTGTCATTCTGTCAAGTTTTGAAAATTGTGGCCTTCTTTTTCCCGAATAATAATAATAATAATAAAACATGGCCTTGTTTCTTCTATATGGATAAAGTGTCAGAACATAGTCTTCGCACTTTCTCATTTACAAGATCAGATCCTCAAACACCAGAGTCTCCCTTTGTGTCTTGGAAGGATGGCGGAACAAATCCCATATGGTGTGGCTACAAGTCTCATCAACACGTTGGCTTCAGCAGCCTTCAGAGAGATTGCTTCCATCTATGGGGTGGAGAGAGAGATTGATTGGCTGAAGGAAACTATTGAAGACATTAAAGCTGTGCTCGCTGATGCTGACCAGAAGCAGCACACTGAACAACTCATCCAGCGCTGGATAACCAAACTCAAACAAGTGCTTTATGAAGCAGATGACTTGCTTGATGAGATCCACGCTCAACATTTGCTGCGCATGAGGGACGGAAAAGGAAAGGGAAAGGGAAAGGTACGTGACTTCTTCTCATGCTCCAACCCGGTTGCTTTACGCCGCAAAATTACACGCAGCATTAGAAAGATTAGAGCACAATTTAACGATGTTGCTGAAACTATGTCAAAGTTGAATTTAGATCGAAGGGTTGTTGAAAAGAAGCGTGAAAATAGTAACTGGAGGGAAACTAGTTCCTTTGTGCTCCAAGAGGATGTGATTGGCAGGGAGAGAAACAAGAATGACATAATTGATTTGTTGCTGAATCCTAATAGCGATCAAAATGTTACCTTGGTTTCTATTGTCGGCATTGGGGGCCTGGGCAAAACTGCTCTTGCTCAGTTGGTGTTCAATGATGCCGACGTGCAACGTTTTTTCAACAAGCGAATGTGGGTGTGTGTTTCTGAAGACTTTGATGTGAAATTTCTTGTGAGAAAGATGGTAGAATCATTACTTGTCAAAAAAGTGGACGATCAACAATTACAGTTGCTTCAAAATAAACTTCAAGAGAATTTGAATGGCCAAAGATATTTGCTAGTCCTTGATGATGTGTGGAATGAGGATCCCGAAAAGTGGCTGCATTTGAAAAATTATTTGATGTGTGGTGCCCAAGGTAGTAAGATTTTAGTGACTACGCGCAATCAAGTAGTAAGCAATGTAATGGATGTAAAAACGCCATATTTTTTGGAAGGATTAAAAAATGACCAATCTTGGAGTTTGTTGAAAAGATTGGCATTTGACCAAGATAAAATGATGACCCAAAATCTCGAGTGTATTGGCCAAAAAATTGCAGAAAAATGTGCCGGTGTTCCACTGGGAATAAGAGTTATGGGAAGGTTGTTGCGATCAAAATCCTTGGAAAGTGATTGGGAAGCAATCTTGGAAGGTGACTTTTGGAAGACTCTTGTAAGTGAGAATTCAGTTATGCCAATTTTAAAGTTGAGTTATGACAATTTGCCAATTGAATTAAAACAGTGTTTTGCTTATTGTTTTTTATACCCAAAGGGTTGGAAATATGAAAAGGATGAATTGATTGATTTGTGGATGGCACAAGGCTTCCTTGAAAACAAAGATGAGAATAATCAATGTCATGAAGATGTTGGTGAAGAGTATGTTCGTGTTTTGTTGATGAAATCGTTTTTGCAAGACATTGAGATGGATGAATTAGGTGAAATAAAATATTTTAAAATGCATGATTTGATGCACGACTTGTCCCAATCAGTTGCTACCTCTGATTATTGCCTATATGTTGAGGGGAGAAAAAATCTTGCGAGGTGTCCTATCCATGCTTCTTTTGAAAAAAAACAACTCCCTTGGTTCATTGAAAATGCTGGATCCAAGTAGATTGAGAACTTTTCTTGAAATAAAGAGAAAAGGTGAAAGGAATCCATCCGATTTTTTTGAGTTCAAACGCTTACGTAGTCTGAATTTATCATTGCATGGTGGGATGAGAGATTTGCCTAAATCAATAGGTAAAATGAGCCATTTGAGGTATCTTAATCTCTCCTTTTGTTCTCAGTTGACTTGCTTGCCCGAAAGTATAAGCAGCTTAGTCCATTTGCAAGCATTGATATTGAATTGGTGTGGCCATCTTAAATTTTCTGTAGATATTATCACAAAGTTGATAAATTTGCGCCAACTTGATATAAAAGGTTGCAAGGCCTTTGAAGCTGGGATGCCCATCGGGTTAGACAGGATGACTACCATGCAAAGGTTGTCACATTTCATAGTCGGTAGTGATGATAAAGTGACAAAGAAGGCCAAATTGAATGAATTAAAAGAACTAAACCTTAGAGGTAAGTTAGTCATTGAGAAACTTGGTTCAGTGATGGATGTGGAGGAAGAGTCTGGGGATGTTAATTTGATAGCAAAGAAAAACCTCATTTCCTTGACCCTAAAATGGGGACACCATCCAGAGATGAAAAACAATGATGCTACAAGATTATTGAAAAATCTCCGCCCTCATCAAAATTTGAAGGCTTTGATAATAGAAAAGTACCCGGGAGGATGCCTTTCCCGATGGCTTTTGTCGTGTACAAATCTAGTTGAATTGAAGCTCTCCAGTATGAGAACTTGTCAATACTTGCCACCATTGGAAGGACTTGTTTCTCTCAAGACTCTTCACATCAAGTTCATGCATAAATTGGAGTACATATATTATAAGGGACGTTCCTCTTCAACTTACTTCTTCCCATCTTTGGATGAATTAAAAATTGAGTGCTGTGGAAGTTTGAGGGGGTGGCAAAGGGAGGATAATGTCCGAACTACAAGAGATAATGGGTGGCATCATTCACTACCTCCATTTTCACGTCTTTCATCTTTACAAATTGATGCATGCCCAAACTTAAGTTGTATGCCTACTTTTCCAAATCTCGTGTGGCATCTGGAAGTAATTGACTCTAGCACAAAGCCATTGGTAGACACATTAAATATGAGTACAATTGGGCCATCAACATCAGATGATATGACTCCATCTCTCTCCATGCTTAAGTCTCTTCACATTGAAGGGATAGACATGGAAGCATTACCAGAGGAATGGATGCAAAATCTCTCCTCTCTTAAACATCTTTCGATTGCCGATTTTTCAAGTGTAGAGAAACCATTTCATCATATGCGAAATCTATCTTCTGCACTTGAAGCATTCACTGTTGGCATCCTTGGTTCATGGTATGGTGATGAGGATTATAATGTACAATGCCAAGACCTTTGTTGCCTACATTCTCTCCAAAAAATCGAATTTACTTCTTGTCATGACCTCAAGGTTTTACCGGACTGGATTTGTGATCTCCCATCGCTTCGATTTATCCACATTCAGTTCTGTAAAAAGTTGGAGCCCTTTCCAGAAAGAATGTGTTGCCTCACTAATCTACAAACACTACGACTGGTTCAAGCTTCTCCACTTTTAAAGGAAAGATGCAAGAGAGAGAAAGGAGCAGAGTGGCCAAAAATTGCCCACATCCCACATGTACGGATCAATGGGCATCAAATCTAACTCCTCATTGCATACATCTAAAGGTATACTCATGAGTAACTATTATGTCGTTAAAACAAAAGCACCTTGTATGATATCTATAACTACTTTATTTAAAATAAATAAATACTACTCCACTTGTTTTCACCTTCATGAAAGAATTCGTTACTAGAATGTTTCCGAGTTGTTAAACTCCACTCCTCTTACTAATTAACGTTTCATTGCAGCTGACCTTTGTTTCCAAGAGAATAAGGCCTCACAGAGCATGCTCTGCTCACTGACTCTTTAAAACAAGGTACCTTGCTTGATGCTCACTATCGTATTCTCCAACTAAAACTGCTTATGTCCAGTTACAAGGATTATAAAACTTTGAAAACATTCAAATAGGCAATGTATTAATTGATAATTACTTGAATTTGCTCTGTTTACACGAAAATTAGATAACAATTGAAGGGTGCTCCAACCTACTCCAAATTTGACCCTTCATCCTCTACTTTAGTTAATTTCGATCTTTTTCTTACTCAGTGATCATGATTTCATGTTTTTTATTTAAATTCCACAGTTTTAGTCATATTTATTTGCAATAAAAGGAATTATGATGTTCTAATTATTTTACAACTTGGCGGATTTTCAATTTGAGATGATTTGAGGGCGTTTGGTTAGAAACCAAACTATAATTTTAGAAGTGTTTTTTTTTTTTGTATATAAAGTAAACATGTGAATTTCGTGAAAGTATCTTTTTAAAGTGCTTTTTTATTTAACCAAGCACCCCCAAACTAAGAGGAAAACTTGTTAGACACTTGAGTTTATTCATACCAGCACATATTTGATCCATTTTATGAAGGCAAGGCTTCTTAAATGGGTTGAATGTTGAAGAGGATTAAAAAACCAAACAAGCAGGAAAGGATTAAAATTTTTTAAGGCGTACCAAGAAAAAGATTAAAGTATTTTAACAGATATTTACTAAGCCTGTAGCTGTAATAATAGTTTGTTGTGTCCCTCATTATTATCATTTAACACTGATTAATTACTATCTCTTGAAAATTTAAATTCCAGGTCGAGATATGCAGGTTGATCTTGCGAGTTACGGCTACTCCATTGTAAGTAAGTTAATTTCTCATTGAGTTGAAATACGAAAAATTGGGTTACAAATTAGATCACCATGTCTTCTTATTCTTAGTTGATTTTAGTTTGTTGCTCAATTTCAAAATTGGATGGATGTGATAAGGAAACTACATTCCTACTCTGAATTTGAATTCAGTTGCAATGAATTATATCGCTGGCTGTTCAAGTTTGAAAGCCTAGATATTTTGAGCTCCAAACGGGGGAAAAAACATCTCATATTTATTGAGTTCGTCTACAGTTTCAATGTGTCTGATTAGAATATCCTTTTGTTTTGCTTTTTCCATTTATCCCTTTGTTGATAGTTGAGTCGCTGGTCTCAGATGAATGAAAGGTTCATTGGGCTCAACAAATTATGCAGATTTATGTGCAGCAAAGCCATTGCAGCAGATATAAATTCTGATAGATCTTTTTCTCAAATTGCAGAGAACCAGCAATTTGCCTTCGGAAGATTGAAGCCAAATGAGAATAAACTGCGGGTCTCACCCTCTTGATCTTTTCCATAATCTTCATTTAGTTATTGAACTATAATATACGTACATGCTTCCCATAAAAGCCTAATTTACGCATGAGGCTAATCTACGTCCATGTTTAGATGATATATTTGTCTTTTCTTAATTTGCATTATTCCTAAGAATATTGTAATGATTTTTGATGCAGTGGAATTCCTTAGAATTGGTCCTGTGGTTTTTTACCCTGGATGTTAGTGGGTTTTCCACGTTAAATCTAGTGTCATTTGTACTTTGTTTTATACAGTAATAGAATAGAGATAAATAAGCATTTTTTTTTTTAACTTTGACATTTAACAAACCAAAGACTCTGAATTTGAGCTGTATAACCTACATTGCAAACTATTAGTAAAAGAGTAGCTTGCAGAAAATTTTAATGACACATCAACACATTTGGATTAATAAATAATATAATGTTATACAGGATTATTTTCAGGAGATTAGCAATTGTTATAATTAATTAATTTACCTAACTTTTTTTTATCAATCCAAATTAGCTCAAAATAGCTCCTATATTTTGGGGGGGGGGGGAGGAACAGAGGGTACTTTCTTTTTATCCCCTGCCTTATCTAGAACAAGAGTATCAATTTGCAAAGTTGTACTCTAAGAAAACTTGTTATACTCCTCTCTGGTCCTAATATGATACTTTTTTTTTTTTAAATCACTCTAATCATCTTTTTTAATTCTCTCCTTCCTTCGTACTTAATTATTGCTAAAAAAATATCAGTAGGGTTAATTTAGAAAAAAAAATTGATAAACATATGAAATAAATCTTATATATAAGGCTAATATTAACTCTCTAATTGGGTCCTACGTTAAAAACCGGATGAGTATTATATTGTCTCGTTGGTTTTACATGAGCATATGTCTCTTTTCACTCTAACTGTATATCATCAATGTTACTAGCTAGATCACGATTATTATTGACACATAAACTGAAGTATATATGCATATTAACTTTATAGTTACTTTGACAGAATATTGGGTCCTAATAATGTCAATACACTTGTAAAATAAGTCATGATCATTTGCCAGCAAGTTCTTACTACATTTTCAACATGATTAATAATCATAATTAACATGAATTACTCCAAACAACTGTATTCTATACTAATAGAATGCATGATTTGACATTATTTTGCTTAATTAGGTGAATGAACAAGTTGTCGTATAGATCTATTTATTTATTTATTAACCTATAGTTATGTGCCCTTTCATTAATGATAAGATTATATATATTGACCCAATACCTAAATAATTGGATAGATTTTTGTTTTTTGATTCAGGGTTGACTTGGTAAACACCAATTGGAGTTTATTTTGGTAAAGAAGAAACCTATATGATTTTATCTTATGTATAGGACGGCAAATTTGGATTCATTTTCTTTCAAACATTTATTAGCTAACTCTTCGTTGGAATTTTACAGTAAACTTAAGCAGTTCGAGAACATAAGAACCAATTTTATGGGGATTGATGTCCCTAATTACGACTCTTTACAAAGTTCTACAAATAATTAAAGAATATTCCACTAAATTAAGAAAAATATTAAATTACACTGACTCTCTGTTAAAATACAACAATTTTGTAACTTTATCTCTATTTAATATACATCCTTTCAAAAAAAAAAACTCATCTATTCTTATTTATAAGGTAGAGAAAGAATTTTTTTTAGTCCTATTTATAGCTCATCTCATTAAATTTTTAATATAAATGTATTATTTTGTCCTTCATTATTTATTATAGTGTAAATAATTTTTTTAAAGGTGTATATATTAAATCAAAACAAAGTTGAAAAATTGCTATATTTTAAAGAAGAATTAATATAATTAAGGTTCCGTGATTTGTATGAAATACTATCTCAGCTGGTCCTAATTATAAGACCTTGTTTGTAGTCTATAAACAGGATCTTATAATTAGAACCGGAGGTAATATATTGGAAGTGGCTCATAAATAGGACAAAAAAAGTAACTATCTATACTATAATAAATAAAAGGTAAAATAGTATATTCATGCTAAAAACTTAACAATATGACTTATAAATAGGACCCAATAAAATCTTGTCTTTTTGTTTTATAAATAAGACTAAAGGAGTATGTTTTGTGTGTCCTAATAAATAATTAACATCCCATGGCTCTCTTCTTGTAAAAATTTAATGGAAGGACTGAAAGAAATAAAAATGTTTTAGATATCAATTAGCCTAAAATATTTTCTGGGATTGTAAATAAAAAAATGGCTTTTATAATTAAGGATGAAAGGATTATCACTTTTTCCCATCTCTAACTCGATACACATTTAGTTTACATGAAAAGTGAAGTCCACATACATAAGACTCTGTTGGAAAATAATAAATGTACTAATCATTGCTGGCCAAAAAAAAATATAATAATCATTGAATATTATCTGCCTATATCTAAAATTTGATATGTTTAATACGAAATTCTAAATGAGATTGATATAGATGTGCTGCAAAAAATGCGCAAAGTTTAAGTAAATTCTATGTATTTGATTTTCTTTTTCTTTGCTTTAAGGACGTCAAATAAGATTTGTGGCAAAAAAAAAAAAAAGGACATCAAATAAAAGTAGAACGAGGTAATTCTTTCTCATCAAAAATTGGAAATCATTTTTTAAACAATTTTCCGTATAAACCATGAAGCAAAAGTAAAGAATTATTTATAAATCAGGTATGCATAATAAAGCTTGTTATATATTTGATATATAATTAGGCTGGCAGCAAAAAAAAAAAAGATATATAATTACATAAAATTATGTGTGTTAATAATTAAACGGACCCAATAAATTAATTAAAATACGAGACTCTACATAATTGTGTATTAAATTAGACAAGACAAAACTATAATGATTGTGTATTCCATAAAATCACAATCATTGTCACGCCATACGCATCCTGTCTATTGCGTGGACTTTGGTAAAAATTATTATTCCAAAAATTGATTCTTTCTTTTCCGTTTAAAATTAGGAAAATAAAATTAGAGGAATAATTGTGAGTCCATGTTTGGATCTGTGGTCAAAATCGCCCACATGTGGCAATTTAATCCGATTATGGGCGGTTCTACCCTTTGGATCACCAAACGCAGCCTTTCTAAACAGTCACGCGTTCCTTACCCCCCAAATGACAAATATTCTTGCCCCTGGGACTCAACCACTATGCAAAATCCAAACGACGTCGCTTTCATGGTCATGCATATTCACGATTCTGATTCGTTGTTTTACGCTACTTTATGGCGCGTGTAGTCACTGTTGCCGTCTTTGCTATTTTCGAACTCCATCCCTCCCCCATGTGGCCGAATACACAGCCTCATCCTGTCGCTTGGGGGTTCGTCTGGAATAACGCCCTCATAGTTCTCTTAATTACAGATTTACACCTCGTCTCGTATGTCTTGTTTGGATGCTCCCTTTTTTATTCCAAAAACTTTTTTTTACTCTTTTTAGTCTTAAATATAAAAGATGAATAACTAATTTATAAATATTAAATATTTTAATTTTATAAAAAATTTTGAATTTAACCCTTAATTATAAAAGTTATATTTTTAGTTATTTAATCATAAAATCCTTTAAAAAATGATGATATTGAGATTTTAAACATTGATAAAACATTCTTAAGTACTAATATATCAAGTTTAATTTTTTAAAAAATCATAATTACTACATAAAATTATCATTTTAGACTCATTATTTTGGGGTTAAATTATCAAAAATATATTTTTTAAAAATTTAGGAATTGAAGTGAAGCTTTATATAAAATTAAAGAAATAAAAATATGCTTTAGTTAATACGAAAACAACAAGAAGTTTAAACTTATTAGGTGATATTGGCTACATGAGTCGCACAATATCATTATACTTTATCAATACCAAATCCTTAAATAGGTTGTTAGCTAAAAAGTTTTGTTTGATAAACTCATCAACCGCTCTCTTTGATCTTCATCTACTTTTATTTGGAGGATTTCAAACTATACAATTTACTCTCCTTATCAGTGTCTATACTGTGTAACCAATCTCAGACCAGAATAAAGGAGAAGAATTATGTTAGTTTCTTGGCAGCCAACAAAAAACTTAACAAATATGTTGGGTTTTTTAAATATCGCTTTTAATCATTTCATCACCCCATTACTTTTTTTTTTAATATGTGTGATTAATGGAGATGATAAGTTAGGAAAAAATTTATAAATTTAAGAGAAAAATATATTAAAATTTTATATTTATTATTAAAATAAACTTGTCAACGAAATCCTGCATTTAAATCTCAATGTAGTTTTTTCATCTCACAGCATTTAAACCCTTAACCTACCTTATTTTAAGGAAAGCAAGCGATTCATGAGCATTCTAATATAATGTTAAATTTTATATATATCATATATAAAATACCTCTAAAAATATACTATGTATTATGATGCATTTGGAAATTAGTAAAGAAAAAAAATGAAGTTACATTATACATTGGCATTATTTTATTTTATTTTTTTTGTAAATGCATAAATGTAAATGAATTAATTCTCCGTTCACACTCGTCATGTGTTGCCATTTTCTAATATAATATATACATTTTTTCTTCTCTCAAAGGTAGAAGATATGAATTGATCAAGATTTATATGTTGATAAAACATAATATAATGGTATATTAATAACGACGATGAAATTGCTTATAAACTCAATCAATAACTTACTGATAATACAATATCATTGCGTATATTAATTTATTTTGCCTATCATAATTTTTACATACTAAAAGCCATGTAACAATTGTTAATACTCCTTCGGTCCTTAATATAGGACACAATTCTTGAATTGGTTTTAGTCCTAAATATAAAACCCATTTCTCATATTTATCAATTTTCTCTAAATTACCCCTATGGATACTCCCTCAACCATAATCAAGTAGAAGAGGGGGATGGGATATTAAGAAAGATGATTATGGTGTTTTAGGAAAAATGTGTCACTTTTCTTATAATTAACTAACTTACCTAACTTCCTTAATCTAATCAAATTAGTTAAATGAGTCTTATATTAAGGATCGGAGGAGTAGAATATTTAGCCTTACATGAGCAGTCTTGCTCCTTATAAGTAGAAGAACACAAGTTTGAATATTAAAAAGTGTATTCATTTGGTCTTAAATATAAAAACTTTATACATACTAGTATAAGGATTTTATATTTAGAACCGGAGGAGTATTTATTAGGAAGATTTTAATTTTAACACTTGTAACTTAACAAAGCTTAGTCTCAAATCCAAAATAATTTGGGAATATTCTGAATTATATATATATTAAAAAAAAAGAATACTTAGCTTACGGAAACATAAGTTGAACTTCCAAATATTTGTTCGACCTCTTAAATCATATTGAAGTTAGAATAAATATTTTCCCTACTAAAAAAATTATTTTATTTTTCAATGTATGGAATTAATGTGTCTTGATCTTGACATGACTGTCCTTATATCATGACTGTCCTTATATCATCATGTCATCATAAGTGTAAAGTTTTTAAGAAAATGATTATATTATCCATATTTAATATGAATAATATAAAATGGAAGCACGTCGGTCAAAAGTATATACTAAATGTTTCTACCATTTTTAGAGATTTGAAAAAACCAACTTAAAAGTTTGAGGTAAAAACCCTCCATAAGAACCTGTCAAACAAAAATTACCGGATATTAACTAAAACTGTCGTGTCTGATTGTGACTTGGTTTCAATTTTCAAATTCCAGAAACAGTTTGTCAAAAACATGTTTCAAAACAACTTCTGAAACAAAACTTCATCCCCCCCCCCCCCAATATTTTAAAAATAAAAGATATGTATTTATTTAATTTGTTTCTTAATACTCGGTTTATTTCCATCTTTTGCCAAAGATTTGTTTCCATTTAAATAATGACTAGTACTAATAAGATATAAGAATAAATAATAAGAAAATTATTATTAATTATTACAGTAACATGATTAATCAATTAAATCAGTCAACAAAATTACTCACAACAATACCTTCTTTGTATTTTTTTAAAAAGATTAAAATTATTTTAAAAAATCAGTAAAAGGGTATTTTTATCATTTAACTTTATATGAAATTTGAATTTGATCTTTAATTTTATAAAATATATTTTCAGTCATTCAATCTTACAAAGTTAGTTTTAGTAATAGCAAATGTTAATATGATAAGCTGTAATGTTGACAGTATATTTTCAAACACTCAAACATAGAATTTGATTTTAAAAAATAAAAATGATTAGATCAGAAAAACTATAATTTTATAATTCTTTGACTCAACATTTTTAATTTTGTTTAATGAAATTAGATGTATTAGGGTTAAATGACAAAAATTACATTTTTGCACTAAAATAATGCATAAATATATTTTATCAATTACTAATATATAAATATATTCATATACAATCATCCCTCTAAAATTTATAAAAAGTGCAATATCCATATTAAATAATAATTATATTGATTAAAAATTATTAGTATATGAATTATTGTAAAATTCTGTGTAATGCAAAATACCATATATAGCCAGTAAAATATAAGTCAGATTGTATTCAGAAATAGAAACGAAGCCAAACAGGGCATTAGGATTCCAATCAAGCATATGAGTTCAAATGGTAGAAGATTGCAAAATCCAATGACCCCACAGGCCACCAATAATTGATCATTCTCCTAATCCTCCCTGTATTCAAGCTGGCACCATTGTCTCCCTTTTCTTCCTCCTCCTTCACATCTCTCTCTGCTCTTCATCCTTCCTTCTCTTCCTTCTTTTAGATCCTAAAACCTCCCATAAGTACCCATTTTTCTCAGCTCTCTACTTCCAAATTCCCAATTCCAATGCTTTGACAAGCTTTAAGCTTCAAAAAATGGCTCTTTTCTCTACCAGTCGTTTTCTTCCTCTTCTTCTTCTACTTTCAATATGCCTCTCATTCTTTCTCACATTCGCAGCAGCTTCGAGCTCTGCTAAGTCTATCTATGAAGTTCTTCGCAAACATGGACTCCCATGGGTCTGCTTCCGAAGGGTGTGAAGGAATTCGACATTGACAAGGAAGGTCGATTCTGGGTGCATCTGGATCAAGCTTGCAATGCCAAATTCGAGAGCGAATTGCATTTCGAACAAAACGTTACGGGGACTTTGAGTTATGGACAGATGGGAGCGTTGTCTGGGATAACGGCGCAGGAGCTATTTCTTTGGTTTCCGGTGAAGGGTATTCGCGTGGACATACCGAGTTCTGGGTTAATTTATTTTGATGTTGGCGTTGTTCGTAAGCAATTCTCTTTGTCCCTGTTCGAGACGCCGCCGGATTGTTTAGCGGCTCCGTCTGGAGAGGCAGATGATTTCCCAGAAGGGGTGATCATGGCGGAATCTGTTTCCAAGGTTTGATTAATCTGATTCTTTCATTTTCTTTGTCTTATGTTTGATTTTTGATTGATTTAGTGTATATGTCGATGCGAACCTCATGGAGCTACGCAGGTATTGAATCGAATATATATATTGAGCAAACACTGTGCATCAACTTGTATTTGCAGCGATATATATATCCTGTCATGGTGATAGTGTTTGAATTGTCTCTAGTGTCCGGTATAAAGCGGTTCTTAATCGTGGAGGAAGAACCAAGGGCTAGATTAGCCAAATTCAGCAGTTATTTTTTTTTGGGTTTGGTGGAGGGTCATGTTCTCAACCATTCCTTCATGTGATCTTTTCCTTTTCTTTTGGTGGTTAAGTAGAGTCACTTGAAAACACTGAATAATTGGTTAGGGATGCTTTTGTTTTATCTTTGTCCTCTTATATTGTCATGCAACAAGGGAAAGTTACTTTCTGACTTTACAAACGGAAGAAAGGGCTTTCCACTAGTATGCAGCTACCTAACTGCCTCATGTATTTATAGCGTTTTTCTCAGGTGATCATAATGTTGGGGTCAAGTACGAGTAAGGAGTGATAAAAAAGCCTTTGCGGGGGATAGAATTAGATAGGGTAAAGAGGTGTATGGGTCAAAAGAACTCATAAATTTTATGCCTTAAGGTTAGGGGTCACATTTTTTTTTTTTAGGCCTGAAAGGGTCACAAATTGATATCAAGCTCATGTAGATATTTCCTCTCAAAGTTCAATGGAGACAAAGATATTCCGGATCTTTCTACTATATGAGGTTCTCTCAAGTGCTAACACTAGGAGTGTCTCCCTCCTCTTTCTTCTGTATCAGGAATGATATTCCTTAGTTGGGATGATGACCTCTGGTGTTTTATGTAATTTAATAGTTTCATACAAATGATACAATTTCTGAATACCATATCATGCTGTTTGAATTACTTATTACCATGGAAGCAATTGAGTGGAAGATTTATCCTGCAATATATTTCATATGCAGAGTCACTCAGGAAAGCTTCGGTATCAGCTTAATCAGGAAAATTTTGGGAGATATGTGCTGTAGATGATGCAAGAGGAGGTGAATTAAGATGTGTTGTAGTTGGATCATCATGGTTTCTCCAATCATATAGCATATATCTTTGGAGAGCATAAATTAACAGGCGCAGTGTGCTACTTGTTTGTCTTTTCTTTCCTCATATAGTGCAGAGTTAGTGTAGTTATGACAGCCCCTGCATTTCAGTGATTTGTTGAGAAGATACTCGAAAAAGTGCAGCAACATAAAAATTTTGCAGATTCGAGCTTCTTCTAAAGTCGATAAAGCTAGGCCTGAGCATTTGGTTGTGAGGAATTCAGGTAATAAGTCTGAAAAGATTTTTGTTCTATGTTTAGTTCTTTTTTTTTTTTTGGTTGATAATATAGATATATTTTGAGATGATGAATTGACTGATCACGTACTTTAAAATAGACAGAATATGATGCACATTTGTTATGAAGATTTATGAATAAAATTGTATATTCCTTCTCCAAGTATAGAATTCATTGATACAATATACTTCATATGTTGCCAACCTATATCAAAATTTTAGGGGTCATTTATTTATTAATGCCATTTCTGAACTACAGTTTGAGGTTTGAGAAGCTTCGTAGGATTCAAATATTGAAATTCGGTGACTTTAATACAATCTGATGTCTGATTAGGGAGAGCCAATTTCTTCAAGGAACTTATGTTTCAACTTCTTGTGCTCAGGTACATTCGCGGTGGACATAATTCAAGGCAGAGGGCTTGAGTAATTTTGGTCTTGTGTATATTCTGATATGGGTTTCTCTGTATATGGATACTTTTTTCTGAGAAACAAATAAAATTTTATATTCTGGAATCTTCATTTCTATCTTTCTTTCAGTATTGCTGCAATAATTCAAGACTACTGTTTTGCTGATGGAATTTACTAACTGGTATCTTCATTATGCTTGCTTTTCTTGGTCTGAAAATGCTCGGATGCATGCAAGATCTTCATAATTGCATGCTTTTTCTTCTTCACATCAAAAAATCCCCTGCTTGTAATCTGAGTGGTATTGACTGTTCCTTAAAGTTGATCATGCATGTGGGGACTCCACTTTTCATCTGCATCTATTACCATAGAAGAAAACCCGAAACTTTCTACTCCTCTGATACTTAATATAAGACCTAATTAACTTATTTGGATAGATTAAGGATGTTAGTTAAATTAGTTAATAGGGTATATTTTTTCTAAAACATTTTAATCATCTTTCTTAATTCTCTTCCTCTCTCTTCTACTTGATTGTTGTTGGAAAAATATTAATAGGGTTAATTTGGAAAAAATATTAATAAATATATGAAATATGTCTTACATATAGGATTAATATCAACTCTCAAATTAAGTCTTATATTAAGGACCGGAGGAGTATTTATAATGCATGGTGATGTTGAAAAAGGGAGAATGACATTTGGATCCCTTATAAGGCAATTTATTACTTTTATTACCTTTTTTTTTTATAAAAATAAGTTAATATAGTATGTAATAGTTGTCAATCTTAAAAGGATCTTATGTCCAGGAAACTAAAGTGTCAATAAATATTTTACAGGGAATCCAAATGTCAATTTGCCTTTAAAAATATACTATAATGAATAAATGAAGGAATAATAATAGATGATATTGGTTTTATATAGTATATTGATTATTTCTTTAATCTGTTTATCTCACCCAAAGAAGGAAAAATTTACAGCTTTCTCTTGGCATTGGAGTTGGTCATGTCTTGCATATTGTCCTGTTAAAACCATCCTCTTGTCTCAGAGAATTTTACTCATCACGTTGCATGCACAGCTGAAGTGAGTGTCTAGTGCTTGTTAAAATAGCTTATGCTACTTTGTCTGTTGTATTGCTGCCTTCCAATTTATTAGTCTTATCTCATCTCATCTGATTAAATGTTCTACTTAAATTGCGATTTCCACTAATAAAAAATAGAAAAGCCGGGTTGCGTTAAGGGCCCCATTTGGTATAAAATAGGAATTGAAATGGGAATCCGAATAAGAAAGCTGTCTGCAAGAAGGCAACTTTTTCTCATTCTTCATATCATTCATTCATATACTATACATACCCTAAAAAAAATCAGAACATGCCAACAAGAGTTAATTTAGTCGGTAATAAGTCAGTTCATAATTTACAAAGTTGTGGTTTGAATTCTATTTCTGATGTGAGGACTTTATTTTTAAGTGATTTTTAAACACTCTTTAGGTTTGGAGGTATGCTCTAGCCTTGGAAAAATCTTCGGAATTCAACTCACCTAATTTTTTGTTTAAAAAAACAAGATAAAAGATCAAAACACTCTTCCAAAGAAAATCTTGAATTATATTAAATGAGTATTCGTTTGAAGTAACGATAATTACAACTACCTCATAAAGTCATTGGTATTGTAGAAAATTTTTCCAAACTCAACAAAGAAAGAAAAGCAAGAAAAACAAAAATGAGAAGTAAACGTACATCTTTTACTACAAATACAATATTTTGATGGATGTTCAAACACAAACAGAAGGAACATTCTTTTACTAGATTTGGAAATATTGGATGTAGGCATCTTGTAACCAAAATGGGAAGGAAGAAAGCTTAAGAGACAAGAAAGATGTTGTAGTGGGAATTAGGAACAAAGTGGACTGGAGGTGGGCTATAGTCAGGATTAAATGTAGAGTTAATTGGGGACAGGCGTGTGGAAGATATTTTATGTTAAAACGTTTGCGCATTTATTACAGCAAGAATGAAGGAACCAACCAAGGTAAACAGGGCCAATGACTTCCAATTCCTTGCTTTCACAAAATTAACAGTATAGTATTTTCTTTATTGAAGAATTGCAATAAAATTACCAAAAAAAATAATTACTAAAATTTTTTAATGGCAACTGAATAACTTATGATAACAAGTTTTAAGATAAGAAATGAAAACTTCTCATTTGTTATTAGAACTTTTTATAGTTTTTTTTTTGAAATTTTATTGCAATTATCTCTTTCTTTTTTTATCCTATTTATATAACATTTCTAATATTTTTTATTAGAATTAAGAAAGATGTTAAAAATCTTATTAACTTTGTATTAAAATTTATTAATTTTCTAGCCTTATTCCCACCTAATATGAGGGAATGGGTGAGAATTGAGAAGTCTTAGAGTAAATCTTAAAATAATAAATTAGGGATGAAACAGCACATTCACATAATAAATTTAATGACATGACTTATATTAAGAATGAAAAATACCTTCTCTTTATTCTATAAATAAGCTCGAAGGGGTAGCTAAAAAGAAATTAACCAAAAATAGTGCAATTATAAAATATGAGCTTTTTATAATCATATTCTCTTGTGTACTAGTATTTTTGTAGTATTGAATACATGGCCATTAGAGTGAATTTATTTTTGGCGGATTGATCAAAGTTAGGTGTGTGGTTAGTGGGAGTTGGTTGATGAACTCAATCTTATCCTGTAGATGTGCTAAATGGGGTGCTTATTTTCGTTTTTGTTTTTTGGTTTTTTTTTTTTGGGGAAAACCAAACTTTATATGGTTAAAGTAGCCAGTTTCTAATTCTATATATGAAATACAAATTACTAAATTATGTAAATAAAAAAATTGGTTAAAGTTGATTAAGGGTAATCAACAGGTAAAAAAAAATGCATACTATCTTTTAAAAATACCTTTATTTAGAGAGAGAGAGGCTGAAAGAGAGAATAAACGGGGGAAAAATATATGGGTGAAAGAAAATTAATGCAGAAATATAGTAACATGTGATTAACAGGGCAAAAAATGAAAAAAGTTAAAGTTTAAAACATCCATTAAATGTATTTCATAAATATGATCATGCTTATCTCAAAAACTAACTCTTAAATGTATTTCATAAATATGATCATGCTTATCTCAAAAACTAACTCTTATATACAAGACTAGAGAGAAAGCCACTATCATCAATGGTTCAAAGAGAAAAAATTATGATCAGAAAATAAAAAGGATCATTCATTGGAAATAACACGTAGGAGGAAAGTGAATAAGCCATAAGTTTGACATATGCCTCAAAGATGAAGTTGCTGCAATATTCTGAAAGCTCAAGAGGATCATGTCTATCTCTTGAACTTGATAAAGGCGTTTCAAACCAGTGAGGAGCCAATCAATTAGGCCAGAATTTGCAGAAGAGGAATGAACAGATAGATAGAGGGACAAGCAAACCCCACAATGGGGTGCTTACCTGTGTTGCATTGCTATTTGACACTTAAACTAACAAAATAGACGTCAATCAACTGTGTGTGTGTTTTGCTGTGATTGGTGACTTTTGTAATCATTAATTAATGCTTTAATTTATTTTTAAATCAATCCATCAGGTGTTGGTGAGATGCCTACTGCCACATGGATCAGCGTAAGCACCACTAACTTCTTTATTATTATTATTATTATTATTATTATTATTATTTTGAAAGAGAGAATTTCATTGAATCACTCGAAAGAAATTTCTTTTGCAGTTCAGTCTCAAAAGATTCTAAAACCTCCTTAGGTTTTTAATTGAAAATCACTTTTAATTTGCACTTAAGGTAAATGCCCCCTGCCAATTGAAAAAAGAAAATCCTGCATGATGATCATGGGCATCAACAATTGTTGAAGTTATCGGCACTTATGCTAGACATTGCTAGTCAACTAGCAACATGAGTTCATGTCACTAAGTCACTAAGTGAAATGTTCTTAAAATGACTAATATAGAATTTCAACAAATGACCAATGGATCATTAATGCCTTATAATATTATAATACAATTATATATTAAATTTAACTTTAGGATCATTTTGTAAATTTCATAAAAGTTATTGCGATTTTGTTTCAATGAAGATATTCTAATATAGCTGTCAACAGAATTGTTCATTTATAAATATTATGAATTTGCTATAATAAAATTGTCACCTTATGGAGTGTTTGGGAACTCCCAGAATCACTTTAAAAAGTATTTTTATGCAAGTCGAGATAAAATTCATCTCATATGTTTATCTCAAACTCTGTAAAATCATTTCTAAAAAGTTATTCCAAACACCTTTTTATCATCTTGAGAACATTTCACTAAAAACCTTCTTTTTAGAGACTTGAATGAAATTTCCAAAAACAAAAATATTGGTAAATACTTCAGTCTTTTCCTAACCCCAACTTATTTCAAACTTTCCCACTACCTACTTGTACAATATACTTCTAAATTTACAAAAAAAAAAATATTCATAAATTGTGATTCGCCCAAATTCTTGTGTTAGATATAGAACGTATGATTTTACATTTGCTCCCATTTTTAAAGATGTTTTTATTTATCTCATAAATCATTAATAAAATCTTATCACACCATCCAAATTTTTTTTATGCCTCTCCTGTGAGTGGCATCAGAAAGATCTTTAATTACGTAAAATCTAGTCAACTATATATTAAATTGTCCATTTTTTCTACTGACTATATTCCATATTAGATACATATTTTTTGTTGATTTAAATCAGGACTCATTTTATAAAAAATTTTTTTTGAAAATCATGCAAAACCTTATCTCTGTGTTTGATTTATTATTTTTATCAAATCCATCAACACCTTACACTATCAATTGTATCATTTTCATCATATGAAACATAGATTTAAGTGTTTGTATATTACAAACTTCTTCCTCCCCTTAGCTACTCCTTTAATATGATAAGGTTTGAAAAGGTCATAAAAGTGGTTATTGAATGTTGATACACAAATCCAGAGGCCAATTGATAATCAACAGAACAAGAAGCTGATGAAGCATCCTAGATTGAAATTTGTCGTCTTATGTATGAGTGAGTGATTGCTAGGGAAAATAATAATTCCAGAAAAGACAAAAAAAAAAAGAAAGAGAGACAAAGAGGTTTGTGACAATGGCAACAAACCGCGTGAGGGTTGCGTCAACCTGCACTGCCCTTATCAATATATGTAGGCCCCATAGTCAAACCTAAACCCCTTTCTTATTGACTTTCATCTGTCGTGCTTTTGGATCGGACCCTCATTTCTTGGTACATGTTTGTTTGTTTGTTTTACAGGGCAAGGTAAACGTTCGAAAGAATTCTACTTGTATTAGTTGATTAATTTGAATAGGTTAAATAAACTAGTTTAATTAATTATTTGTAATAATATGTATTTTTTTTTTAAAATATCCTTAGTAATTAAATATATTGATTACAACTACCATTATTATAAAGACTATCTTAAAAAAAATAAATAAATGTGAGAGATAAAGTGGATTGAGATATTACATTTAGGACTAAAATAAAAATCAAATGAGTTTTTATATTAAATACTGGAAGAAGTAATATATTAATTGAGCTTTATCCCCCAAGCTATGAGGTCATTATTAGTTCATGTTTTGCTTCATGTTAACTTTGGCTTAAAATAATGTGAGAATAACTTTATCTTAAAAGTTGCAAAATCACCTTTTACAATGAAAACAAAACATGTAATTAATATTGTCATTCTTTGGGGAAAAAAAACTTCATTATATGTCCGGAAAGCTCAACATTAGTATTACAAATACTGCAAACCCTTATCAGCACCAAACATTCTTGTAGAATGTGCAGCTGAATGATTAAAGAATGGAGTTTTCTTTGGTAAAGCAGCAGAAAAAGCTACAACTTCCGGTTCTTAATATAAAAACTTGTTTGACTTTAAAACTGGTCCTAAATATAAGATCCCAATCATTTTATTTTTATGATTTTTTCAAAGTAATCCTTATAGTTGTTGCACATATTAAAAACTCCATCAAATGATAATTTTAGCTAATACACATTATTAGTAAGAGTATTCTAATAAAAATAGCACATATTTATTACAAATAATTAACTTAACTAATTTTCTTGATCTTTTTTAATTAGTCAACTAAATCTTATATTAAAAACATGAGGTAGTATTAAATTAAATAAACACTTAGGTAATAAAAGGAGTTTTATGAAAGCCTCTTTTGTTGCATAATAAGATTATGACATTTTTCCGGTGATAATAAGATTATGGCATTCAACAATTAACACAAAGTTGGTGGATCAAAACTGTCAAGAAACAAATACGGAAATGGAAGTGCGCTGTAGTTAAGTTTAGCTCTAAAGCATGATCTAAGAAGTCACCCTCTCCAGGCCTGCCTAAATAGTTATTTTTTCTTCTGGGCTAGGAAGGAATTTCAGTTCTCATGTTTGAGCGACGCCATGTTTCCTGAAGGGAAAAAAAGGTTTACACAGAAGAGATGGCAGGAAAATGTCTTATTCAATTGCATCTTCTCTTCTAAATGATTCCCATATGCTTATATTATTAATTAATAATATTCATCTCTAATTTTTTGAAAATCGAAACTAACAAATATGCAGAGAAATTGAGAGGATATATCTAGAGCATTTTGTGCCGGAATCATTCACAATTTACATTGAAATGACAGCGATAAGAGCCCAAAATTGTGTTATGTATTCATAAATAATATGATTCGGGTCTGTACAGGAATAAGTATATGCAGCTAAATAACAAAAAGGTGGCCTTCTCTACAAGTATACATTCATTCCTATATAATTTCAGCTCTGATCATGCGTATATTATGTTGCTATTCAACCTATTTTCTGGCACGTTCATATATGAATGACCTTGTCAACAATTCAATAGCTTTCTCTATCACTAGCAGTCCTAAACATCGCTAAAAACTATAAATTAGCTAAGCTCTATCGGGCTGACTTGACCAAGCCTTTAACTGCAACTAACAAAACTTAATCCTTCAAAGCAGAATTGGGTTTCAGAGGAAGTAATGATGGAAGGTCTCTCATTCTGAAGCCATTTCCCCAAAAAGAGGCAAGACAGAGACCCATTATAGCCATGGCTACCACGGAGCATGCAGACGGAACTGCCTGACTACTTCCTAAGAACTGAGTTGCAAGAAGACCAGCAAGTGTGGAGCTTTGCATTCCTGTGCATAGCGAAATCGTTCGGCTTACCTCTTCACCTTGCCTGCAGCAATTGTTGTATCAGACACCTTTCGAGGTGATACAGTTGTTTGTGAGAATAATGCATACAAATACACCACTTCAACTATAAGAAACCTAAGATTAGCCCTCAAAATATGCATGGGCCACCATGGGAGAGGGAGAAAGGTTGCATGGATATTGAGATGATTTTTTTTTTTTTTTGGCATTAATGTCTATTTTAGCTTTATTACCATTATATCTGTTATGTGATCCATATAACTGACCATACCCAGTGAGATGAGACTTATTGTCATTGTTGTCAAATACAAATATTATTTTTCATCATATTTCCTTTCTATTCCTCGTGTTATTCTAAATTATATTTTGCATACCAAAAATTATCTTTCATGCCTCAGTATTTACTATTTAGAATCTTCCATCCATTAGGAGATCCCACTTAACAGTTAACACTATCTTCTTACCAAATGGATAGCCCACTTGCTCGGAATGCCAACAAAGATGGTTAAAATACTAAAGCCTTGCACAGAAATGAAATACCCAAGCTCAATCTCCAAATTCCCAAATGCTACATGATCAGAGTAAGGGGGAAAATTTTAATTTCCTAATTTTTTTCTTGGGAGAGGAGGGGGCTGGCTTTACAATTGACTTCATGTTGATGGTCAATACAGAATTTGTATATTTTGCAAGTTATGCGCGCGCGCGCGGGGGGTTTGCAGAACAAATTGCCAGCAAACCTTGATACAAGATGATATATACAACGTTGATCAATCAATCAGAAACTTCAACTTACTGATGCATGAAAGTATGTTCATGCATAATTTGATCTTTTTAACCCTGACTAAAGCACAAATGCTTTCAAACAACTTAAAAATAATCTAAACAATTTAGCTACTATGAAAACAGTCCATCATCTGCTGTCTCAATTTACATCTTATGATCTTAACCCAACAAACATTAGCATATAACATGATTAGAACCCCAGATAGTAAGGCCCACTAAGAAGGATGCAGCTGCGAATGACTAGTTACTAAAAAGGCCGCAACAAAATAAAATGTACAGATAATAACATAGGGTTAAATCTGCATCCAAGGAATAGAGTTTGGATTGCTTGACTTTTGTTGTTGTTTCTAAATTTCAAATTTTGGTAGTGAGCGTACCTCAATGTTGGAATGTTTGAGATCCAATATCCTAAAGTGAAGGCAGCGGCATGAAATATCAGTATAGGAAAAACTAACTGAAGACCTTCTCCGGATAGAATTTGACTCTGATTTATAGCAAGCGGGCTCCCAATGCACATCGAAGTACATATCATTGCAACGAAGGGCATCACAGGTTGAAGAACAGATACAACTGGCTTTGCATATGTATTGAGCAGAAGTCCAAGAGTAACTGGAACAAGAACAACCTGCCAAATATTTCCAGCTACATCCATCACCAAATTGAAAACAAGTAGAAAATTGTGAAGGCACTTAGCTGGAGAAAACTTCTAAGGTATGAATAATGTGCTAGCTGGCAGCTAAAGCGAGCACTGCAACTGGTAGGGGTCCACTAACACACTAAATTTCTACGTGGTTAAACAGCTTTCCTTGCGAGCCACTAATTACCTGTAGTATTGACTTTGACATGGCAACTGCATCAACAGGAACTACGGATCCAATGATAAGACCTGTTAATAGAGGAGTTAAAAGAACCGATGCAATTGTGGTACAGCTTGTAAGGAGAATGCTGAGTGCAATATCCCCTTTGCTTAGAAAGCTTGCATAGCTAGATAGCTGAGCCCCTGAAACACAAGCAGTGAGGACAAATCCTGCATAAAACACCCTTGGCATGCCAAACGCCTTTGCGATCAGGACACCAAGAATAGGTTTTAGCACATATTGTGCAATGAACCCAATGGAAAGTGGTACAGGTCTGCCATGGATAAGAGAACAATGAAACTTGTAAGTAGATTCATGATTTCATGAATTTAAATTACGCAGAAATCAAGGGAAATTGAAAGTCACACCTTTTAAATGCAAGAGCAAAATCATCTAGGGAAAGTTTTATTCCAATAGACAACATAATCCCACCAAGAGCAGGGGCATATAACTCTTTGGATACCCTGGAGAAGTTGAAAGCTCTTAGTTCTAGTATTATTAATCCAATTCACTACATAATCGTTTCAATTTACTCATAGAATGCCACATTCTTGACTTCAAGAGCGACCAATAGAAGAAAGAAATAAAAATAGAAGAAGATCAACTTCATTTTCAGGTGAGATGAATAGAAAAAGGTCAGAGCACCATAAAGAAGTTTCCAATACTCTCTTTAGGAGCCTTTTATCAGACATACAAAAGCCGTCCCACACTCAAATAATAAAATTTCGTCACCACTCACTAACCAAAATAAAATTGAAGTCAAATACCATTTTTTAATACAAAAATTGAAGTCAAATACCTTTTTTCAATACAAAAATTGAAGTCAAATAGCTTTCCGATATTAAAAAGAAAAATTAAACCGTCAAATCCTGAAAGCAAAGGTTTATAGCTCAATTATGAGAAAATAAACGCATAAAAATTGAAATACCGAGTCAATAATAGACAAGGGATTATAATAACACGCAAAATCAGTGCGATGCAAGAAAAGCAATGAGAAAATGGCAGTTTCGAGCGGTTCTTTCCCCTTCATATAAAATGTCCAATTCAACTTGAGAGGAAGATTAACATCACATAAAAAAGATCATCACCGTGAAAACTCACCATGTAAAAGTAGAAGGTTGAGCCAAAGCGGCAATTGCAGTGGCAAGAACAACAAACGGAAGCATCGATGACAAAACCTGGGACCAATCCCTTTTGCCCACGTCAGCTACAGAAGTCGAATCAATGGAAAAAGAAAGCAAGGAAGCATTTCCTTTCCTTCGGTGCCACCCAACTCTTCCGATGAAAGGCGAGGTCGAACAAGCGTGCGTCGACAAAGCACCATCGCCGCAACCCTTTGGGAGCTTAAAAGATGGATAAGAAGAAGAAGAAGAAGGAAAAGAGGGAGAAGAGGAAGAAAGAAATTCAAAACTTGAAATTCGAAGCTTTGGTTTAGCGGGTACTGTGGGAGAAAGAATGGGAGCTGAGAATAACGAAGAAGAACAGAGAGTTCTTGCCATTGAATTGCAATATGACGCTTCCTCCGGTTCGGATGGTGTTGCCGGAAATGGCTGCTCCTCGGCGGCAAGGTTCAGAGAAAACAGGGGAAGCAGGAAGATAAGAAGTGATTTCTGTCTGGAGCATACAAGAGATAGAGTGAGCATCTTATATCTACGCCTCTGCAAAAGATTAGGGCTAAGATCAGATACGTGAAGGCACACGGTGGGTAGTACACCTCATTATTATTTTTTTCCCCAACCAAAACTCCAAAAGTATTTTCATGCCTATAGTTTTTATAGTAGTTATACATGTTAAATGTTTAATCAAATAATACTTCTGGTAAAAAAAAAACCAAATAATATTTGATTAATAAGAATATTTTAGATAAGACAATACCTATTCATTACAAATAATTAATTTAACTAATTTACTTAATCTACTCAAATTAGTTAACTAGTTTTTATATTAAAGACAAGAGGTAGTATCTCTTATCTTTAATATAAGAGCTAATTTGATATTCAATTTAGTCCTAAATATAAGAACACAATTCATTTTATCTCTCATATTTATATATTTTTTCTCAAGATAGTGCCTTAGAAGACAACACATATTTACTATATATAACTAAGTTAAATAATTTAATTAATATACTAAATTTAGTCATATAACTCTTATATTAAGAATAGGAGGTAGTATATTACTCTTTCGATCCTTAATATAAGACCCATTTAACTAATTTGATTAGATTAAAGAAGTTAGGTTAGTTAATTATAAGAAAAGTGATACATTTTTCCTAAAACATCATAATTATCTTTCTTAATACCCCTTCTCCCTTTTCTACTTGATTATGGTTGAGAGAATATCCATAGGGGTAATTTAGAAAAAATTGATAAATATGAGAAATGGGTCTTAAATTTAGGATAAAAACCAACTCAAGAATTGGGTCCTATATTAAGGACCAGAAGAGTATCTCATCAAATCTCTTATATAAATATGTATTTTTATTCTTTATTTGTTTTTCTGATTGTTATTTTTTAAAATATATATTAAATAGAAATAAAATTAAAATTATTCAATAAAAAAATTAGTAGATTTAATTTTTTTAATTTTAAAAAATATATTAAAAATACCTTATAAATAAAATGAAAAAATAACTAATTAGTTTGATTATTAGTATTTCCGTGTATTAATATTAATATGATTACGCCCTTTGACTATCGCTATTTGGCTCTCTGACAATTATATCAAAGGCCGCAACAATAGGCAAATTTTTTTTGTCGAAGAAAAGGTAACAATGGCATGAATTTCACGTATTTGTTGAACTCATCTTGATAAAATATATTAATAGTAGGATGAGTTAGATTGACGTGATTTAATATTATTCTCAAACCTGCCCCAAATTGGGAGATCTCTAAATAATTGAGGGGTATTTTTATCTATCATTTATTTCTTTAATTTTAATCACTTGTCTATTTTTATCTACATTAAAATTGAGCTTACTCTATTCAAGACTTCCGAGCTACTATGTCCTACAAATTATTTGTTTGAGAAAAACTAAATATCGCATTTGAGTAATTTTTTCTTAGCAAATCTGTTTATTGATTTTTATATCATATATTTATATTGAATGGTATTTATGTTTCATTCATTAACGTATTATGAGTAAGGTTGTTAAACTTACGAGTTTAAACAAACTCGTGATAATGATGTACACTCGGATCGTGAACTCGTAAGGGTTTACTTTTATTAATAAACTGATATTAAAAGTATATAATCAAATAATTAATATATAAAAAATGAGAACACTTTCATTTAAATATATTTTAAATTTAAATAATTGAAATTATATCTATTAATGTTCATAATTTATCATATTCAACAAAGAAATTTCTATAAAAATCATATATAAAATCACTAAACATAATCAAATTCAAAAATTTAGAACGAGTTTAATAGCGATTTGATACGATTTTGTAAGCTAAAAACGTGAAAATGGTAAACTCAGTAAATAAACTCGTAAGTTTAACTGAGTTTATTATTACTACGAGTTTATAAACGAGTCAACACGATTTTGTTAGCTGAAAACATAAAAACGTTAAATTCAAAGAGTCAACTCGCGAGTTTGACAACAGTGAATATGGGAATTAAGAACTATATATGTATGCTGATTTTTAGTGCAACTTGATTCGTTGAACTTATTTATAATTAATAGAAGCAGTTATATTCAAAATTGTCTTCCCCACTGGCTCTGATGGAGCAATATGTGGCCCTCCTTAACTTTAATCTATTGGGAGTCATTTTCCTTATTTTTGTTTATGCTTTCATTGGATATTTTGCATTTAAACCACAAGCACCTTTCTTGGATGTCACGAAGTTAGGGAAGAAAACATAACAGATTGTGACGCGTGCCTTCTTTTATGATGCTTTACAAAGAGTACAGATTATGATGGATTTCGTTTTCCTGTTAATGATTTTGACGGATACTTCACTATTAATCGTTTCAGTCTCCATACAGATCATAAGGGGGGTCGGATTGATCACTTGCACTGCCCTAACCAAGTAAACGGGCCCAATGAACTGGTGGCCCAAACTTCTTTACCTTTCCATTCTATCTTTCTTTGGTTTGATCAATAGTGAAAAACAATCAATATAATTGAATATACTAGAACCGACTAGTTCCTTATAGCATGGCCAACTGATGTTTAAATTTTTACTAGAAGAAGTATCTACGTTTAGTACCTAATGATACTTCGAACAGGATTGTCTCAAATAGGAGAATACCTTACCCTACAAATTTAGGAGACAATAAATTGAGGTACCATCTGTAATCTTTAATATAAAAGATAGATAATTAATTTGTAGTTATTAAAAAATAGCTAAATTAGTTATTTGTTATAAATGTGTGCTGATCCCCTTAAATTGTCTGCTTCAATCATATGCATTGAATAATTAGAATTATTTTTTAGTGGAAATCCTTCAATTAATAAGGATATTTTGAAAAAAAATAAAAAATAAAATGAATTGGGATAATATACTTAAAATTAAATTCAACTCGAACAAACTCTTACAAAGTAATACCATAGCAAACTCGTCTAACTCATATTTAGTATGGAAAGTAATACTATGTTAAATCAACCACAAACTCTAAGAACATGGGGGGGAGGCCCTCATAGGCTCGTACCTCTATGTATAAAATATGAGAGAGAGGGGGGCGGAGAGAGAGGGGGGGAGTTTTATATATATAGGGAGGGGGAGAGAGTTTTTTTTTTTTTTTTTTTTAATGCATGATATTTTCCCTTTACTTTCCGGGACATGTTTCTGATACTCAGTGTGCTCGTCTGCCATTATTTTCTTGTCTCTTCGTGATCTCCCCATTATTTCCCATAGTCTTTTTGACTTGCAGCAATATCGTATCATATACAGAGCCAAGCCAACTTTCTTTGCTAAAGAACACTTCAATCTCGTCTTCAACTTCCATTCTTTATTTCCTTTAAAAAACATAAAAAAGAAAAAGTGCTTGCATTCAACTCTGAAATTCTGCCATGAACCGAAGCATTCAGCTGTCAATATGCAGTCATCTAAAAAAGTGAGTCATTTCTGGTCGATCATCAACGAATAATGTTCTCCAATTCACTAGAAAAGCTTGAATCCTAATAACCTTCAAAATGGGAACTTGTAACATAGAGTCATATATAATAATCTTATAACCCCCTCTACTTTTAATAATTTGAATCCACAACAGAAAAATCACGATCTGATAACCCTGCTTTTATTTAATTGTCTGCCGACAAGTCACCTTCAGTAATAAACCGAGAAATAGATTTACTTGAAATTAATTATAATTTTTAAAATAACAGATATGATATCTCAAACAAGCTCAGCCAACATACAAATTTTATATGAAGTGGATGGCAACTTAATATCATAACTTACACTGGACATACCATCACTTACATAAAATTATGATCAATAGCCTCAATCATTTTTGTAAGCATATAAATATATCGTGTGTGTGTGTGTCTGGTTAGGGTGAAATTTTTTTTTTTTGAAATTTTCACTGATGGGCTCTGAGTATCCAGAAGTTTTATTAAGAACAAATTTATCCTAAAGTTTAAAATCATAACAATACTGCTTCTTACCATTAAAAATGTTAATAGTCTTTGTTAAAAAAATATTAATAGTCAATATCACTATTTTAATAGTCAACGGTAGCTTTTTGACAACCGGAGGTAATATTGCTATAATTTTAACTTTTTAGGGTAAAATTGCTCTAAAAAAACTGCCAGATTCCCAGAGTTCCTGAATGAAAACTTTTAGGATAAATTTGTACCTTAACCATATATATATATATATGGTTGCATGCTTACAACAACATAAAGTTCAAATCCCATTGCAAATTAAATAAGAAGAATGTCATCCAAGGGTCTTCGTGCTTCACCCTTGGACAGTTTAAGGTCAACGTAGTCCTTGAACTTGATGCTCTTGAACAATGGCTTTTCCTTCTCCAAAAGCTTTGGGGTTGGCCCTATCTCTTTCTCAACAGGTGGTCCATCTATCATTGCAATGGTCACCCTTGTGTTTCTATCATTCAGCATTACTCTGTGCCAAATACCCTTGTACCTTCCGTTGCTCACAAGCTAATAATTAACATCCAAACGCAGCCACAATAATAATGAGTTAGAAACAGATCACCGAAGTGTCAACGAGTTTGTAATCTAGTGACATAAAAACTTTCTTGTAAATATGAATTTGCAAGTTTGGTCCTGTTGTAATATCAAGTTGTTAATATATGTTACCGTTTTAAATTGGGAAAAAAAAAGGAACAGAGCAAGGGTAGTTAAGTAAAAAAATTGAATTTGTTGTCTTAATATTTATAATTAATAATGCCATTCAAGCTTTAGTTTGGTTTAGTTTGTACAGTTTAAAAACAATTTTCGGCTCAACAAAATGTGTGCTTGCATATTTTCAAACTTAATACCTGCTGTGATTAAACATATGTGTGTGTGCACGCGCAATGAAACATGTAAAGATTAACATAAAATTATGAAAATTCTAAGATTTTAGATGAAAATTAAGATAAAGATATAGTTAGGGAAAGTATTTAAGAGCTAAAAGAGCAGACCTCGAGTTGATCTCCAGGAAATACAAGTAAGCAATTGGTAAGAGGATTAACATTAATCCACTTGCCATCATGTTTCACTTGAAGGCCTGCAATTTCGTTTTGCGTGAGGATGGTGAAGAGGCCATTATCAGTATGAGCAGGTATCCCTAAAGCAAGGTCTGGACGTGGACATGGAGGATACAAGTTGGCTAGAAATTTTTGAAATCCAGAATCAAAATCCGTGGACTCAATTATAGCATCAGGCTCTAACCCTAAACTCTCTGATACTCCCTGAAGCAATACCCTCACGATACTTCTGGTCTTCCTGCTATACTCAAATGCCACTTCCCTGTATTAAAAAAACAAAATAACAAATTAGCAAGGAAGAGAAAGATCACAGAGGCCAGAGAGTTTTGAAGTTCACTGTTATGAACACAAGTTTAAAAGGAGAATTCTCAAAAGACTAGCGAGTAAGAAAGAGCCTCTTGAACTTATAAATCATATTTACGAGTCACATATAAGGAAGCTTCGCAAGTGTTAGTTTCTTAGGATTGAGCTTTTCCTTTAAAGCTGTGTGTTGATAACATTAACATTTACGTACTTGAAACCAGAAGGCTTGTGAGGGAAATGAAACTCAGGAAAAGTTGTGACTCTTAGATAATCTCTCCAGTAATGAGCCTTCTCTGCTTGACTATGAGAACCAGTGCCATATCTAATGTGTGGGAACAAGCCCTCGTCTTTGAACTCCTCCTTCTCTTCAAGAGGCAAATTGTGAAACTCCACGGACTTCTTCATTACTTCCTCCATCATGCTCTCACCAATCCCATGATTTATAATCTGAAAAATGGTACACCCAACAGTACAACGTAAACTCAGGCCAAAAACAAGTACAGAGAATAACCCAGAAAAAAAAATTATCTACCATGAAGAAGTTCCAATCTTGGCAGGCTTTGCCAAGTTCTTGAACGGCATTGGCATGGATTTGAGGATCCTGTGAGTTGAGGAGGGAGAAATCGATGACGGGGATGGAATCAGCAAGGTGGTCCGCAACATCATCGTCATGAGGAAGTGAGTGGTACGAGGAAGGGATAGAAGCGACGACGTCGTTTGATTCGGCGAAGGTTTTGATGCTTGAAATGTCAGATGCACGAACATTTTGGGGTTCTGATGATGATGAGGACAAAGCATCTATGGAAGCCATAGATATGATAAGAGAAGCAAGTAAATTTAAGCGGCAAAGAAACCGGTTAGGTGAAAAATAGAATGTGAAATGCGAACTATTGGCTGGGAGGTATAAATAAATGCTAAACAATAATGCATGATTTGTGGGGTAAACGACTAATTAAATATTTTAATTTTAAAGCTGGTTGAAAACAAAAGCAGAAAAGATACCACTTCTACTATACGATTTGCGCATCTACTTCTACTTTTTTTTTTTTTTTTTTAAATTGATAGTCAGCATGTTTGGTAAGGCATTTTGAGGGAAAAAATAGTTTATAGATGTGATAAATCAATTTGTTCTTATACTTCTTTCTATATATTTTTTGTACTTCCCAATCATTCTTTAGTTATTTATTTTTAATATTCTCTTAAGTTAAAAGTAATTTTTAAAAGTTTTTATAATATTTTTATTTTATATTTACATAAATTATGTAGATATATTATTTAATTAATTATGTAATATTATTTAGTTTAAAATTTTTCACATTACTATTATTTCTAATTTAAATATATTTTATTCATTAAATATAAATTTTTCCTATTATACTAATTTAAAATTATTATATTTTGTAAATTTATATGTTTAATTATTTTTTAAAAATTATACTTATTTTGTTCATTCTATAAACTAAACTTACTTATTCAATCATAATTGAAATAACTTTGTTACTTTACAAACTAATTTTAATAAAAGTCAATCTAAACAGAAATCACATTACCTAATATAACTTTCACCCAATCTTACTTTTTAACTGTCAGAATAAAAATAATTTACTTTTACTACCGTTAATCCAAATGGACCCGGTATTTCCTTCCATGCCTATCATAAAATACATTTAATATCATACAATTGAAGTAGAGATAATATGCAATGGAATGAGAGATAATTAAGTTATTAAATTTCTTTAAAAATGAAACAAGTTTTTAAATTTACTTACATTTAAAATTACAAATTATATTTTGAGAAGTAAAAGAAAATTGGGACAAACATCAAATAATAAAGCCAATTTTGAAAATATTAAATTATAAAATTTTATGATATAATCAAAATTAATAAACATTATAACATATTAGAAAGTTCAAAAAAAAAATGTATTCTCACAAGTTTTAAGCTATATGAAAATTATTTTTAAAGATTTTTAAATGATTCTTGTTCTATGGAAGGGTATTTTGGTTGAAACAAAAATTTAAAAATCAAATTTAATGGTCAACTAACAGTTTAAATGAATGAAAATAAATTTTTTATATAAAAAAATTTGTGTAACACATATTTTTATTTTAAGAAAAATTCACATACGTTTCTAGAATAAAAAGGAGGTTTCTGTAATTTAGATAAAGGAAAAGTTGGTTAATGTTTTTTATTCCATATATTTAATGCATTACTTAATAATTTATAACAAAAATCAGTCATTCCTTCTAGAATATTCCTTATGATAATAAAATAGTCCTTATGATAAAGATCACGAGAAAAGTGACATTATGGTTGGGGTGGGGGGACATTATTGTGCTCGAAACCAAAAATTAAAAAATGGATTTTAAGGTGTGGTTGGGTACTTGCGTGGCTCAATAAATGTTATTTTCCTACAAATGATCAACAAATGTTTATTTTAGGAGAAAACTATCACATATATTGATCCATATGGGAAGATAATTAACTTGAAAGTTTGAACTTCTTTGAAATACCAAAATTATAACCTGTGTTCTAACTTTTTTTTTTTGTTGCCCACCCAATTCTTCGAAACTTTACTCCGACTACATCTGAATCCGACCCGCGTCGCGCACCTGGTTGTGGTGGGTGAGTCTCCCAACAAGGATTTCTGCATACGCTGAGGCTCGAACTCGAGACCTCGCTTAAGTGATGCCAAGCCGCTTACCACTTGGACCAACCCCCGTTGGTACCTGTGTTCTGACTTTCAAGCACGTGATATCTCCGTTACTTGTACTCGTCCGGTTCTTAATATAAGACTTATTTAACTAATTTGATTAGATTACAGAAGTTAGGTAATTTAGTTAATTATAAGAAATATAACATGCTTTTCCTAAAACACTATAATCGTCTTTCTTAATATCCTTCTTTTCTCTTATATTTGGTTATGGTTAAGAGAGTATTCATAGGGGTACTTTAGGAAAAACTCATACATATGAGAAATAGGTTGATATTTTAGGATCAAAATCAACTCAATAATTAGGTTCTATATTAAGAATTGGACAAGTATATCTTTATGATTTATTTCTAATTAAGGATTGAATTTCGTATCAAGGGCAATCATTTAGGGACAGCTCACCTACTTCCACAAAGTAAAAAAACATAAAGCATATTCGATGACATGACCTGATCCGCTGATGAGCTTGTCCTCTGAAATTTTTTTTTTTTAATATTAATGATAAAATTAAATTTTATAAAATAAACGATGTGTGATGAAGTGTTTATAATTAAGCCATTATATAAATGGAGGGGGTGGTTGATTTATTAAAAAAAATCAATCAATTTAATAGAGTACAAGAAAAGATAAATGTCTAATCAACTCATAATACAAAAGTAATTTGGCTTCATGCAAAGAAGGTGCTGGTAAGAAAAGATGAACAAATTAAATAGTTGTTAGCTCTATAAAGAGATGCATAAAAACCGAGAATAATACTAAATAAAGTTTTATCAATTGAGATCTATTGGTGAATTTTATATTAAGAGGTGGATAAAATATGGTATGTGATGTGATTTATGAAATCAACTCCACTTTATAATTGATATATAAGGTTTTTTGTTGTTATTATAAGAATTAGATGCATAGGCTACAAATTATTAGTTGCCAAAAAAATAATTTTCAACAACAAATCCTTTAAATTAATGGAACATTAATGACAAGGCAAATATCATGAAAAATAGTTCAACGACGCAAATAAATATTTTGGAATAGTGTTGCAACTTGAAAGTGGGGAGGATACAATTGGAAGTGAATACTTCCCCTCTTCTGCGCAAACTGAGATGGCAAGCATTTACTTCCCCTATGAAAAAGACACTTAAATAGTTGTCAAACATGGCCCACTATGAGCTAAGAAACTGCTATACAAGGCAATATGAGTAGTGGGTGTCACTGACAATTCCATAAACTGCTACTTGTCCATGTGATGATTAACAATTGGCACACTATGAGCTAACAAACTGCTATACAAGGCAATATGGACAGTGGGTGTTGCTAACAATTCCATAAGCTGCTATAATAAACACTTGTGCATGTGATGATTAATAATTGGTCAAAACAGGGTTGGGCTAATGCTTCCCAAACGGATGGTGAATCCCAATCTATATTTTTAAAGGGTTATAATAAAAAGGTTTCCTGAACATTGACTTGTAAAAAATCCTGAAATGATTTGAAGTTCATTTTTCAACTTAAGTGCATCTACATATATAAAATTAATCCCAATCATCAATCCTTAATTCCCAATTCTTCTCAAGTATTTCTCTGAATAACAAATCCGTTCATGCACACACATCTGTTTACTGTAGAATATATACTGCACATCAATACAAGAAATCAAATTCAAAAGAAAAAAAATTCCACATCTGATCAGTACAAGTATTGCTCTCATGGTAGAAGATTTTGTGTTGTAGTGTTATGAATGACATACTGTTACATAGGCGTCACAATGCCTCCACTCTTATGACTGAATTTTATGGATTACATGAAACATATACCAAGAAAGATGCATAGTTGAGGATTTTCCACACAATATCCCTCAATTGAATCAACACTCTATAGCAGCCCTGTTTGGTAGATTCCCACCCCTATAGTGAGCGACATTCTAAACACAAATCTACACAAAGTCCAACAACTATGCATATGCAATCCAACAACTTTAAAGCAAAAAAATGAAAAAGCCAAAAAACAATTTTTGAAATTTGCATAAAGCCAACACCAGGTTTAGCATGAAATAAGAAACTACAGTTATGAAACATCCACCTAAGCTGAAGAAAATCAGGATTTTTTTCCCCCCACGATATCGCTCAATGATGGGAGGAACTGAAGGATTAACACATTAAAGCTATTATATTTATAAAGCCCTTAAGATTGTGTTCCTTATTGATTGACATACTATCATGTGTAACTTCCATAAAGCAATACCTCCTTCACTCTTTTCAACGACAAAGATATGTCTTGCATCATCCATATCCCTAATAAGATTTTCTGCAAAACATCACTCCACATTATGAGGAACAATGGATTGTGAAATATGTGGTACAATAGTCTTTGTAAATGATGTCACCATATATGAACTCGTGCAAATTGATAAAATATATGAATAAGGCCCTTAACTATATCCAATTTTCCTTCGCAGTAAAAAAAAAAAATTAACAAGGCCTTGGAGTTGGCTAATTCATATATGACAACACCACACCTAAATTCAAACAAATCATCATCGTCCCTGCAATTCCTGCAAAATTAGGGTGGGACACTGCTAGTGGTAACTGCTAACGACGTCTTTGCACAACACATACAAATTGAATACTTTGTTCAGTCAACAATTCGCCCCTTCCCAATCGAAGTGAATAGATACACCACGGTTCATTAAAGATCTAAATCACATGAATAAGACCTCTCAATTTGTGTGCCTAATTGCTGATTATTTAATTGAATCCTATTGATCTTTTCCTGACTTGTTTATTCAAAATTATTTAATTTCTCATTACCATCTTTATTGAATAAGCAAAAGTAATATCAAAAGCACAGAGATAATAACTTCCATCCTAAAAATTATGTCTCTAATGCGCATTGTATCTCAGGAAGAATAAGATTTTATTTTTATATAAAAAGACTATGATTTTATTAACTTCCATGAATTTACAACCCACATGTTCTTATATTAGTAAACTTATCACATTGCATAAACACTAATAATGTACAGTCAGATCAAATCATTTTGACACGGCTATACAGTAGGAACAAAAGGTAACTTATAATACTCCTAATTTCCTCTACATGT